GTTCACTTTACCCTGTCACACATTTTAAGATATACATAAAATCAATTCCTCCTGATTGCTGCTAAAGTTTTGCATGTCTGAGTTCTGGAACTGATTTGTCTTCTTTTTGTTTTATAGCAATTACACTGTGTAGAATCACTTTTCTCTCATATCTATACTCAAAGAGAAGCTTTCTTCTTATAGCACCAACCCAGGTTTAGCATCATGACTATCTCTTCGGCAATGGCAGTCCCAACTCCAGAAATGGGTTTAGATAATCTATTTTTTTAACCTTTATTCCATTAATTTATTTTTATGTGGTGCTGAGGATTGAACACAGGGCCCCGCATAAGCTAGGCGAGCGCTCTACTGCTGAGCCACAATCCCAGCCCTATAGATAATCTATTTTTTATGATTGTTCTATCATAACTCCCTTCCATTAGCATGGATACCTGAAAGCTGACTCTAGGAAGTATGGTCATGAARTAAATAGACTGATTTACCAATCACCTTGTGTGTAATGAAAAGCATGAGTCAACATACGTTGCTAAAACATAGTCAGTTTGTTAGTAAAAATAAATTGTTTGATGCTAAATCTACCTCTAGACAGATTTGAATTTTACTTGCAAATATTGCAACATGCAAATTTCATGTTTTTTTCCACCCAAGAGAGGAAAGTCATCCTGCTTGATTATTTTACATATTAAATGATCACTTAGGCATGCCAAATATAATAGAGTGACAGTGGGAATTTAGTCATTCAAATATCTGTCAATACCATTAGATTGAACACCAACAATTTTTGGTAAGCTTTTAACATACATTTCCTTTAGTTAAGTAAAAATAAAGATACTGTTAAAAAAGACACAGAATTGACAGTATTTAGCAATTTACTAATATAATGGAGGGTCAATCAGGAAACCTTTCAGATTTTGTTCCAGGTACTTCTGTACATGGTAATGCCAATTTAAAATAGTTAAATTTATTTTTGATAATTTTTGAGCATTTCATAATGTATTTTGAACTAGGAACATTTGTAACATAAGGGTATAATGTTTTCAAGGAGATGATTCTGACCCTGTGTGCTTTGCTATGAAATCCTTTCAGATCATGCCATTGGATTCACTGTGTAATCCCAAAGGGTCATTTAAGCTTTTTGCACCTCAGTCCTGTATACGTAAGAAAAAAATATACCTCCCAGATAATTTAATAAAGCAATTCAACAGTAAAAAAAAAAAAAATAAAGATACTGTTTTAAAAAGTAGCATATCAAAGAATAAATACTTTGTGGTATAATTGCCTAGATCTTATTCTCTTGGGGAAAAAAAAAAGCATGTGGCATCCAATTCAAAGAGAAAATACAATTGAAAATGCTAATTCAAATGACCTGGTTTTAATCAGAGCCAAAGAATTGTAGCATAGAACTATCCTAAGAGAAAGTAAAGTATGGAAACAAAATGGCTCCTTTTGTAAAATAACAATTTGTATTTTGAGAGTAGGTATCTAATATGGTAACCTCACAAACTAAGGACAGCAACCTAACAGGTGGGGAGTCACAGATGTCACAAACATCCATGCAAGGAAGCACAATCCACTTCTTCATGTCTTCACTGTAGGTCCATTTACTCTTACTTTAGTTAGTACTCAGTTCTAACTATCTTAGTCATCTGGTACCCCAAACCCAAGCAGATCAGAAGATGCATTATGAAGGTGAATAAAGTACATTGCTACAATCACACTTAAGCAAGCAGTAATATAAATGGAGGAATCAGAACATCCACTGAAAACAAAGACATGAAAACTGAAACAAGTGCTGCAGAATGGAGTCATTTAGTACAGGACAAATAATTCTCAGTGTTTAGTCTATCCAAGTATAATAACTAATGTTCAAAATGATAATTTTAATATAAAAGCTTAAAGTGTATTTCATATATTGTTTAAGAAGACAGCAATAGTTTTTATAAAGATTGCCTTCAGAAATTATTCCAAAAATTTAATGCTGAAAGAAGTTTAAGCTTAATAGAAAACTGGGATATCAAGAATGACTCATTCCCCAAATAGTCAAGTCAGCCAGTTCTTACTAAATTAGTCATGTTTAGTCTCAGACCAATAGTTCGAGAATATAAGTCTTGGTGGACAGAGCTGAAGTCATGTTAATCATGCCATAAATTTCAAATCTGTGTACTCAACTAAGAACAATTAACAAAAACAAAATATTTAACATTTTCCTGACATATACACAATGATTTATACAAATATGGTAGTCAAATTTTTCTTTTAGCATTGAATTCATTAATAGGGAATCCTAGAAACATCAATATATTAAAACAGAATTAATACTTCAAATATATGGCAATCACATATTCAACCAAGCAGTTTTAGCAAGTCCTTAGTAAGAGGCAAACAGATGAATACTAAGAACCCAAACAGGTTATCACAAAGTCCATGCACTTTACTGATAGAAGAGCCCTTAGCCTTGTTGCAGTCTACTTACTCTTATTTTAGACACAATTCTAGCAAGCTTGGCAATCTGGTTTCTCAGTCCACAGCAGATTAGAAGCAGCAAATTAGGGGCCTATTGCAGAAAGCAGGCACACAAGACAGCAACAAAATAACAGCTGATTATAAGGGAAGATAGAGAAACTGTGAAAAACAAACAGTATTCAAAAAAGCACAGCAATGTGAAGTTAGCCAGTAAAGGGGCCCGACATCATTCCTGTCATCCCAGAGGGTGAATTTGTCAATCACCCATGATAGGAGGTGATATTCTTAAAGATGAAAAAGAAAAGGTTAAACTACATTCTATATAATTTAGAAAAATGAAGAGGTGCGATTAAATGAATTTGCCTCAAAATTTAACTGATTCAATGGGACTGGGACTGTAGCTCAGTGGTAGAGCACTTGCCTAGCATGTTTGAGGCACTGGGTTCCATCCTTAGCACCACATAAAATAAATAAGTATTCTGTTCATCTACAACTAAAAAATTTTTTAAAAATTAACTGATTCAAGTTAATAACCTGTCAATGATGACAGCTGAATGAATTGTTACAATACTTAGGCATTTTCTATATTTTCTCTCCTAAATTATTTGCAGTTTAGTTTTCTAATCTAAGTTATGAACTACACAGATATGTTCCTATAAATGGAACTGGAAAAATAAATCTTTATACCCTGTCTGTCATTCATAGCATACTATCTACTTAACCTCAAGCAATGGGTTAGCTATATGTATCACCATCTTATGATATTTAGTTCTTGTATCCTGGTTTTGTTTGGGTTCAGAAACAACATACTGTGATTAAACCAAATCACATAGGATTTTTGACAAAGGATTTCTAATCATTTGGTAAAATGTAAATAGTCAACAGAGAGAAATGAAATCTAGGGTCCTATCTGATTAATACTCCATTAACTTATAACTTTTGAAATATACCAGAAGTTGATTTTTATACTTTAACATGAAAAGTTTTATAATTTTTAAAATGTGAGTCAGACTATTACTTTTTTAAGAAAACTGAGTTTAAAAATGTTTGACCTGTTTTACTAATATATTTATAACCAATCTTACTTTTCAGTCTCAAACATTTTATTTCCTTTTATCTTCTCTGAAAAGAAAGTGCAAATAGCATTTAGAAATTCAGAGAATTTGAGTTCTGCTGGAAAGACTCTCCCTAACATTATTAGGTCACAGCTTTTATATAGTTAATTTTTGAATTATTATTTATTTTATGTGGTGCTGAGGATTGAACCCAGGGCCTTGYCCCTAGTGGGCGAACACTCTACAGCTGAGCCACAACCCCAGCCCTCACCCACAGCTTTTAAATGAAGGGTATGGAATTTAAACTCAGCCTATTCTTCTATAGGAAAGCATGAACCTATCCTCTTAAAACTTTCTTATTAATTTGCCTTAAGTGTGTTTCTCTCAATTTGCTTGTCTTCAGTAACTTAAGAATTCTGATTTGAATTGAGGTATCAGTTTCCTAATGAAATATATTCATATGCTGTGAGAACCATTAGCTTTAATGAGGATGTAAGCTATAAAATCAGAAAACACAAAGAACTTGTGAAAATAAGCAGAGGATTGCAAGTCACAGACCAACAAGAGTCTGGCCCTAGATGTGCCAGATAGGTAGGGCTTTAATAAAAGCTGAGAAAAAGGATTTAAGGCATGATAACTGGTACCAGACCACTTTCTGTCATGACTTTCCTATCCGTACATGGACAAGGGATAAAAATTCTGTCTTAAAAAGTGGCCTAAATCAGTCCCTCACATGTATCCTTCCTTTGAGTTCTAGGCTTGTCTTGGTAAAACAAACCATGGCGATATTTGTATTAAGAGCTGTCAGGATACTAGCACTACCACGATTTATACTGTCAAAAAATACTGTAAAATTTGCAAAGTACAGTTATAAGTGTTTTCCACAAAATGTTTTTTTCCCAGAGGCTTCTTCTGGATGTAGAATGGCAGCTATTAAAACTATCAACAACCTGATAAGAGAAAGTAGAATATTCTTAGAAAAAGTAATAAACAAGAACACCTATTTATATTACATTGGTAAACAAGAACACCTATTTATATTATATTGGCCTGTTTTTTTAATATTTCCTAAGGTAATCATTGGAAGAACTAAGTGATAGACAGGGATTCTTACATTTTATTGGGCATGAACATTACCTAGGTCTCATTTCAAGCTAAGAATTACAGAGAGTATGTCCTAAAATTCTCATTTAAAAAAAAAAGACCTCTAGTTTATTCTGAAGCAGGTATCCCACTAAAACGACAATGAGAAACATCAACTTAGAACATTGTCAGGAAAAAATTTGTCAAGGAATTTTCAAGAAGATAATATTTTATCTTGAAAATATTTTATTTTATTTTATTTTTTTTAAATGAATTATATTTATTTATTTATTTATTTTTAGTTCTCGGCGGACACAACATCTTTGTTGGTATGTGGTGCTGAGGATCGAACCCGGGCCGCACGCATGCCAGGAGAGCGCGCTACCGCTTGAGCCACATCCCCAGCCCCTTGAAAATATTTTATAAGATGAAAGAAAATTTGAAAAACTACTTACAAAACACCTAATATTTGGTTAATGTTCCAAGATCTTTAGATCATGATTTCAACAAGTAGAGTTTTCATGAAACTATGTAATGGCTAGTGAATAAAACAGATCAGATTGGAAGACTGGAAAATTCTGATTCAAATTATCTAATCTTTCAGAATTAAGAAATGTCACCTCAGAGAGCACTGAATAAAACTGATACTATGTTATGAAGATCTCTCTCCCAAATCAAGATAGTAGAAACAAAATAGAATAAAAGAATTAAAATTATTAAACTCTGATTTTTCCTCTGTAAGGTTATAGGTTAAAATAAAATAAAGATCACCAAGTTTTTCTATAATTGCTTTTCCTAAATCCCAGGAAAAATGGAGTTGGCAACTAAGTTTGTGATTTAAACCAGAAAGTATCGGTATTATTACTTAGGAACACAAAAGTCAGTAACAACACAAGAAGATTCTTTTTTCCTTCAAATTTAGTATAACTAGGTCCAACCTAAGGTATTGCTCTGAAGAGGTTTATTATGATAAGTCCCAAAATTTTGGCAAAAGGCAAAAATCACTTATGGTACAAAGGATGTCTACTAGTCATATAAAGCTAAACCAAGTTTTTCCTCAGGATTAAAAAAAAAGTTATTAAAAAAATAAACAATTCGGAGTATAAGTAAATTTACTCACTGTAAGTGCTAAGTGACATAATTTAAATGTGTTTCTAGATTATCTAAAGATAATCTAGATTCATCATGTATTTTCCCTGTAGTATAACAGCGTAAGTTGAGTTATTCTTACATTTTCCCTAAATAATGTCTATAAACTATGTCAGGTACAGGAGTTACAGGTTTCAAAAACAGTATACTCCAAAAAATACCAGTCTTCAACAATGGAATCACAACACATGAGATTGGCCACTTTGGAAAGCAGTCTCTTCTAAGAGGTAGCTTGCAAATGAAGACTAGGAAGACAAGGTTTCTTTCCAGGAAGCTGACAGGTTTCCTGAGTCTCACAGGCTCATAGGCTAGAAAATTGCAGCATTGAACCTAGTTGTGGTAATGGTGCACAATTATCTTGAGGCAAACTGATACAAAGAACATTATGCTAAGTTGGGGGTGGGGTTTTTTACTATAGGGATCCCACTTTTGACAAGGAAAGTAACAACAAAGGAAGGAAAAAGTAATAACAAAAGAAAAAAGTTGAAAGGGTTTTTCTTGACCTGGTATGTTTTCCTTTTAAAGACTATTAGGAACATCTTAAAATTAACTACTGAATATTTACACAAACAATAAGAATTATGTCATAACCCAACTATTTTTGAAACTACTTTTAAGTTCCAAACCCCAGCACACATCAATTGTATGAATTAAATTTTTTTTATTCAGAACCTGTATCTTTTTTTTTTTTTTAAGACTGGTATAAACAAAAATAAAATACAAACAACTCGATATTAACATAATAGCTGCAGTTACTAACTGCAAAGATACAGTAAAAAGGAGTCATACTAAATGTTAATGTTCTTGCAAGAGAATTAACCTAGTCACCTTATGGTAGCAAATTCTGGCAAGAAATGATAAATTCATTTCTTATTAAAAGTACTTAAATAATTACCAAGATTATCAGTTGGGCCACAAATAAAGCAGCAGTTTATTTTAAAGAGCCCTTACCTTTCTCTTATTTTCCTAAAAAATCTGCCACTTACAGGTAACTATTAATCTGAGACAGTTGTTCAAACCAGGTTTCTTCCTAGAAATTCACATCTTAACTTTATAGATAGTAAACTTACACTTATCTTCCTTTTCCAGTCCTGAAGCTAAAACACTTTTGTAAAAGGAACAATCTAAAATCATTTCATTGATCTTGGTTTTTACTTTCCTCTACCTCGTTTTCATTTTCTTCTATTATTTGTTCTTCCTCCTCATCGCCAAAAGTCTGTTCCTGCATGGTGGTGAAGGAGAGAGACCTAGCAGCCACTTCTGCTGCGAGGCCAGCAGTGAAGGTAAATTCTGGTGACAGCTGGAGCTGTGCCAACCTCTGCTTGATGGAGGGCTGCAAGGAGTCCCTGGGAGTTGGAGAGACAGTGGCCAGGCCACCTCCAACGGCCTGTGGAGATTCGTCCTCACTCTCACACTGGTAGCACATTGCTTCTTCAGGCCCTTGGAGGAAGACTTCATTTGCAGAATTGTCTTTATTTTTATCCTCTTGTTGATTCTCACATAAATACTCAGTCCTACTTATTTCATTGTCATTTGTGGAGGGCTTACTACTATTTTCCTCTTCAGTATCATTTTTACTGACTTTTCCCATATCTGAATTCACTGATGGTTCTGAATTACTTATGGGTTCCACTGGGTCTACAGGAGACAAGGATTTCAACACAGCTTCAAAGGAAAAAAAAAAAAGAGAGAAAGACAGAGAGAAAAGGAAAGAAAAAAGAAAAATAATAACTAAGAACCCTGCAAATGATTTAAACTTTAATTTAAACTCCCAGTAACTTTTTTCTTAAAAAGAACAATAAATAAATAAAATTTATTAAAACTTTCTAGTAAAAGCAATAAAAATTTATAAGACTAGGTAACTTTATAAGAAATAAAATGTCTAAGAAATGGAATGAGATGGAGATTTGATGAAGAGTTTTTTAAGCTATCATCTTATTCAAAAGCAGTGGTTCTCGAAGTGTGGTTCCTGAACCAACAAGGTTAGCCATCACCTAGGAATCTGTTAGAAGCAGAAATTCTTGGGCCCGATCTCAGTCTACTAAATTGGAAACTGTGGGAGTGGGGACCAGCTATTTTTTACAAGGCTCCACTTGATTCTGATGCACACTAAAATTTGAGAACCATTATTATTAAAGAATAAGCAGAGTGGTTTTCACTGAAAATGTGTTCAATAAAAGGCCTAAAGTGACCCAGATAATAATTGCATCTTCAACATCTATATATATTTACAAGTTAAAACAGCATGGAAAAAAAATATAATTTAACTTACTTGCCAACCACCTAAGAAGACCCTAATGGAAGTAAAGTCACACTTCTACACATTTTGAAGCGCCACAGAAAAATACAAACAAAATGAAATTTGCATTCAAGATCAACTACGGAACAAAGTATAATACATAAACATATATCCATACGGTAGAAGTTGTCCTTGCAAGGAAAATGAAGTTTTATTTAGGCCCCTCTTGATGTTAGTAGGCAGTGGGTTGCTTGCTAGGCAGTCTCTCCTCCCAGCATGAGGGGTTAGTACAATACAATATATTATGAAGCATGACGGAAGGAAAAAAGTGCTTCTTGAAGATCTGGCGTGTGTTTAAAAAATATTTTTGTAAAACGTGTCCATTTCCAAGAAACATCCCTATGCTGCAGTAACTCCACTAGAGAAGCAGCAACAACAGAAAAAAATGGCCACAGCAGGTTCCAGTGTAGAATTTCCCTCTCTAATTCCATTCGGACTTTACCCCTGTAGGCAGAGATGAAAACAACTCTGGAAGACGTACTGAAATTTTTCATGGGAAAAGCATTTTATGGTATCAGCAGTTTTATTTTTAAAAACTACACAGCATTATTGCCTTTTCAAATGCAAACTGCATCAAAAGCACATACCTGAAAATGAGACCCATTTCTCTCATTTGCCCATAATGTTAATAGGTAATTTTAAAACTATGAGAAGAAAATACTCAATAATAAAAGATACTAGCCTATATACAATGCTATTTTCAGTGTTTCGCACATTTTTTAGTTTATAAATATGCTAGTTCTTAACAAATGTAACATGTTAGAAGTTGACTGATATTCATGATTATTGCTAATTGAATGGGGGGATATAATCAGCACAAGGGCAGGATCAGTTGACAAGCTTGTGAAAATATAGGCTTTTTTTTTGGTAGTACTGAAGATTGAACCCAGGGCTTCATGCATGCCAGGCAAGTGCATTACCACTGAGCTACCTTTCYAGCCTTTCAAAATTTATTGAGACAGAATTTTACTAAGTTGCCCAGGCTGGCTTTGAACTTGTGATCCTCCTGCCTAAGGCTTCCTAATAGCTGGGATGATGATATGCATTTTTGTCTCCTGATTTATATGCTATGGGTACAGCACTAAACAGTGCCTGGCATATAATAGGTACTCTATAACTACTTGTTGAATGAATAATTTGCTAAATGAATACTGTGAGGAATAATAAAGTCCCTATTTAAGGAGACTGTAATTTAGTTCCAGAGACAAAAAACAAAACAAAACAAAACACCTGAACACATAGAAAGTAACAGTACCTAAAACATAACGCCACTAATCTCTGATTTAGGTAGGCCCRACATATGAACCAGCATATTACAGAAACTCTCCTTCTGCTTCTGGAAAGCCCTTAATCATTTCCCTTTTCTGCTATGCTTTGATGCTCAAGTCTTTCTTTGCCTCTCACTACAATGCCTCTCTAGTGTTAGGTTCCACAGAGCTAGGAGAGGTAGGAGGGCTAGAGCAATCAGAATTTAGAGGAGAGACTGGTAGACAGGGCAGCCCTGTAGAGACAGAATTCTTGGTAAAGGATTTAACATAAATTTTCTTTAAGAATAAAAATAGTTGGTGGAATTATATCTAATTAGCTGAACATAAATTGAGGAAGATTACCTTCACTAGAAACTGTGAGAAATATATTTGGACATGAYGGATTCTTAAGATGAACAGGCTGATACTTACTGTAAGAGGGAGCCACTATAGCTTTTAAGATAAAGCAATTATCAATGTGCCATTTGAGAATTATCTGGAAAGAGCTTGTAAGATAGCTTAGGAAAAAAGGTACTGAAAATTGAAGTCAACTAGCTAAGAGACTATTACAATGAATAAGCATAATCTAGTGAGGACTTCAGCTATAAAGGGGGCTGATGGTGAGGAAGAGAAAAGTTAAAAGCATGAAATGTAGACATGGACCAGGAGAAAAGGAGGGCTCAGAAGAGGAGAAAACCCTAAGGAGCATTCTAGAARTACAGGCAATCTATATACTACTTCTAGTGAGAAAGGGAGAGGCAGGCAATTGATTTTGAGGGTCCATAAAGATACTTCAAAATGGAAGGGAAGTCCCACTCTAGCTTGTTGGAAATCACAGGAATCAATACAACTAGCAATTAGTCAGAATGATCAAACTGCCAACGATCAAGCCTCCCCTCACTCCTTCCCCTGACTCTTCTAAAGCATGACTGAAGGAAAGAAGGGTGAGTAATGTGAAGAAGCTTAAGCTAACCTTTGGTTTTATTCCCATTCAGCCTAGTAAACAAATTAGAGTATGGAGATAGTACACATAGAAAACTTCCTCCCCTCCTGTCTGCTGAAACACTCAGGTCACTTAAGTGACTCTAACTGGCCTAGGCCTTAACRTACTTTTCAATAGTAAACACAGAGTTATTAATTTTGTGTTTCAACAAGTTATTTTTAATACAGAAAACAGTTCCAAATTTCAATTCACTAAATTTGAAAACATTTTATTTAAAATACTCCAAATTGTTTAATATAATGTCCATTTCAAAAAAAATTTAGTAAAAAATTAAATAACTGATAGAAAAGTCTAATTTTATATTTCTAGTATGTTTACATACCTATTTTTATTGATCAAACTGATTTGCTTCTAGAAGAAAAAGTACTATGTTTATTGGTAGTTACCTAGAATTTAAGCCATAAGAATTAGTTACAGTAAGATTCATGGTGTAAGAAAAAAAGAATCCCCTTCATTGAAATAAGCTTTTACTCTGAAGTCAGTGCTTACCATGATCGCTAAAGAGAAGTTGCTTCCATTTCTGCCTTTCTGCCTCCGAAGCTTTAAATCCAAGCACAGATTTTAATTCTTGCAGTACCCTCTTGGATTCTTCCTGCTCACGCTTCTGTCTCTCTTTGTCTTCTTGAGACAAGTAATAAAAATCATCTTTTCTGAAATCACTGTCCATATCTATATCATCTACATAAGCTTCTAATTCCTGAAAATGAATAAAAGAAAAAGCATTGTAGGGCTGGAGATGTGGCTCAAGCAGTAGCACGCTAACCTGGCATGCGTGCGGCCCAGGTTTGATCCTCAGCACCACATACAAAGATGTTGTGTCCGCCGAAAACTAAAAAATAAATATTAAAAAAAAAAAGAAAAAGCATTGTATTCCAGACAGTTTTCTAGCAGCATTTATGTATTTGTAGCTACATATCTCTTGAGTTAAAAAATGAGGACTTGGGGGGATACAGTTCATTTAGTAAAGTGCTTGCCTCACATTCACAAGGCCCTGGGTTCAATCCCCAGCACCATACGGCGCGCACGCGCACACACACACACACACACACACACACACACACACAGAGACACACAAAGAGGACTTGCTTTTGGCATAGGTCATTAAAGCATAGTTGAACAAAACCAGGGGGGAAAAAAGAACAATATTTTAAAAAGATCTATAGATTAATTGAAGTATTCAAAAAGCTTAACAGTTGATTCTAAAAAAGTGTTTAATAACACCCATGGTTATTTTTCCACGCCTGGTAACCATACTACAGACATGGTTAAAATTATGTTGTTTTTTTTTTGCTATGCAGAAACCAATCAAAACTAGGACTAACAATGTGACAGTTAATATTGTTCTTATGAGAAATATCTATGGTTCTTTCTGACTTCCCAGGAAGTCTGAATACTCTTGCTAGAATTAGGGATCACCCCATTTTATTRTTCTCCACATCTCTAAGACCAGAGGGTAGAATATTTACTCACCCAGCTTTCCTTGCAGTTAAGATTTAGGCAAATGACATGGGATCCTCTAAAGAGATATACCTGAATTAGAAGTTTGTGACAAAAGAAGCAGGCACCTGAAGAAGGCCATTCTGGCAAGGATGTCAACAGATCATGTTCTGGGAGGGAGTGGTTCTGAGGGTAGGATTTACTATTTGGCATTGAAAGAAAATCAGGCAATGTCAGTGCCCCTRGGCTAAGCAATGAGGTCTTCAATGGAACAGTTCTTTTTGAATGAGTTTGGCTGTTAACCCTAGCCTGGCTCAAGCCTGTTTATCTAGTCTTCTGAAATGTTCTGTAAGCTAGTTAATGGTTTTAAATAAATTATCTGTCTGTTAAACTAGCTAATTTGGTTTCCATTTATAATTAAGAATATGAAAGATAATATGACTGAAGGAAGTTTTGCTTAGACTGAACAAGAGAAATCTTTGCACTAACTAATGCAACCATTAAAAATGTGTGGTATAACATCCATGAAGTCAAGTGCACAAATCTCAAGGTATAGATTTTTACACATGTATGCATATTAGCAACCACCACACAAATCAAGATAAAAATGTTTCCAGGATTCCAGAAGGCAACTTTGGTCAAACACTAATCTTTATTGTGTTTAAGCCCTTTAAAAGCCTCTATGAAGTGGACATTTGGACAAGAAATCTGGTGGTTTCAAGGAATTCAAATCCAGGGGATTAAGAACTAATGCCTTTTATAAATTCAATAATTTACATTGTGATCTTGAAATTCATTAGAAACAGAAATGCAATCAGCTATTTGACAATTATGTCACTTAAAAGAAAGGATAATGGGATGGAGTTGTAGCTTAGTGGTGGAGCACTTGCCTCACACGTGTGAGGCCCAGGGTTCAATCCTCAGTACCACATAAAAATAAATAATAAAGATATTGTGTCCATCTATAACTAAAATATATTAAAAAAAAAGAAAGAAAAAGAAAGAAAGGAAGGAAGGAAGGAAGGAAGGAAGGAAGGAAGGAAGAAAGGCAGGCAAACTTTGTATGTGAAACTCTTTGGAAGTAATAAAGGGTAATTTTCCTTCTTACCTGCTCCTCGGGGATTGGATCTTTGTCTGCAATGTGTAGAGTAGGCTGCATCAAAGGTACTACAGTACAATGTGGGTTTTCACAGGCTACTTCAGGCTTTCCTTTAAAAGGTGGAGGGCAGAATAAAGATGAGAATCAGGCCATACACAAATGAATGGACATATAGCAAAAATATCCCTGATACTAAAACGTTGTCAATTTCATAGTTCATCTTGTTCTAAATTTTATCATAAAAAAATCAAAGATACTAAAGTTAACAACACCAGCAGATTTACAATTGAGTTAAACTTTTGGAGAAGAGGACTGGTTTTCTCTCTTCTTTGCCTCACAACAGTATCTGATACACACTATAAATACTATTGAACCAAAAAAAATCTGTTCAGAGAATAGGAACGGTCTTAAAGACAGATCACCACTTTTCCCCCTAATGCTACGGATGGAACCTAGGGCCTCACACATGACAGGCAAGAAGCACTGTACCACTGAGCCTCATTCTAGCTTCCAAGATACTACCATCAATAATAATAAAGAGGAACATTCAACAATGTGCTGATAATCCATCTCTCTAACAAAGCAAACATCCAATTCATAGCACTTGCTGATTTCTAATCTCCATGGTATAAATTCACTCACCATGGCCAATTTTAAGCTATAAATGGTGTTCAACAGCTCAAAGAATATTTAATAGTCCATGGAGAACCTGCTCCAGCATGTAATCCATTTAATAAAAATCTACCAAGTACCAATCATAAGCTCAACAGTAAATTTACAGTCCTGGGAGAATATGAGGTATATGTATGCTCTATTGAATTTATTTGAAGGAATTTTTACTTTAGCATATCAGTAAAACATTTGGGGGAAAGGAGTGGGTATCTCTCAAGTTTCAACTTCATCTTTTTCTCCTCTTCAGTCTTATACAAACTTAATCATGTGTTTGCATTTCCTTATATTATACTTATTTTTTTCCTTTTTTTTTTAAATTAGTGAACACACTATCTTTATTTTATTTTTAAGTGATGCTGAGGCTCGAATCCAGAACCTCACACATGGTGGATAAGTGGGCTACCTCTGTGCCACAACCCCAGCCCATATACTTATTCTTTTTCTGTGAAAAGTTTGAGGTGGAAAAATAAAATTAACCACCATCAAGCAGCCCAACTAAAACTAGAGGCCTTTGAATGGATTTCTCTGATATTTACAACCATTATCTAAAATTATACCTTAAAATTTTTCTTTGAACTCTAGATTTTTAACCACATGTTCATGGTAAAAACTTCACATAGTACAGAAGGGTATAAAATAAAAAAAGTTCCCTGATCACTTTATCCCTCAATTCTACTTCCTGAGAGCAGGAATGATTGTAAAAGACCTTATATTAAAATGCTACTTTGTCCATTTGTTTAAATACAGTCTGTGGTGCTTTCACATTACTAAAGGAGCTGAATAGCTGCAACAGACACCAGATGGCCTACAAAACAAAATATTTGCTGCCTGGTCTTTCACAGAAAAAAAACTGCAGACCCCTGTCCTGGAGCAGTTTCTCAAATTTTAATGTGCAAACACATGATCAGATGTTGTTAAAATGCGTATTGATTTAAAAAAATCAGGGATTACACTATAACAATCTGAAGGCCCTAGAGGTTATGAATGTTAAGAATTTTAGATAATGTTAYATTTTTAATCATGGGAAACTATTGTTTTCTGGAGGTTCTTTTCTATTATAATTCTCTTTTAATGCTAGGGACTGAACCCAGATCCTTGTACATAGTAAGGAAGTACTCTACCACTGAGCCACACCCCAACCCTCTATGGCAATTCTTAAGTAATGCCAATGTAAAAATATGAAACCACATTGAGTATTAGAAGAAATCAGAAGGGAATTTGTAAAATAAATCCAAAATAAAGAATCTTTTAAACTATGATATAAAAACTCATAAGAAACAAAAAAAGGAAGAATATCTTTATGGGCTGGGGATGTGGCTCAAGTGGTAATGCGCTCGCCTGGCATGCGTGAGGCCCAGGTTTGATCCTCAGCACCATATACAAACAAAGATGTTGTGTCCGCCGAAAACTAAAAAATAAATATTAAAAAATTCTCTCTCTCTCTCTCTTTAAAAAAAAAAAAAGAATATCTTTATAAGGAAACACCTATCATAAACAAAGACCAAAAGTTACATGATAAACCAGGAAAACTGTTGCATTTTATTTCACAGAGGATCATTTCACTAACATATAAAAGAGCTTCCACAAATCAATAAGAAAGTGGGCAATCAAAATAATGGACAAAGTGTATGGATAGACAGCTGTCAAAATGGGAATTACAAATGGCTCCTAAACACAGGAAAAGGCTGAAAACACCACAAGCATTCATTAAGAGATTTAATGAATGGTACATAATGCAGCTGAATATGCTGTCAATTTGAAAGAATAAGATATTTAGTAATTTAAATATATAATAATATAATAATTTAATATATAATAATAAATTAATGATAATAATTTAATACATAATATTATAATAATATATAATGATGCAATAATACTTAACAAGATATTTATAATGAATTTTAAAATAGTAATATTTGTTTATATTAACATATGTATAAAATCTTTAGAAGGATACAGGAGAAACTGGAAGAAGCAGTTACCTATAGGGAAGGCAATCAAGTGGTTGGGGTGACTTCATAGAAACTTCATTATCACCTTTCTACTCTTTTGTGCTTTTAAAATTTTAAGGATATAAGCACCCTATTTTTTTCATGGAATAAACATTCAATGAAAATTTTAAGAATGATTTGGTCAACTAAAGTATCAACTGGTGGGAATCAGTGTGATACAGGTACTAATGAGGAACTAACTTGTAGCTGGCAAGAGGTAGCCTGTATGAATTGTCTGAACGCTGGGGATAAAGAGCCAGCAAGGGATGGCAAGATACTGAGACCAGAGTTGGAAAAGACTCTTGGCTGGCATGGGCTGGTATAGTCAAAGCAAGATAGTCCAGAAGGGAAGAACTCTGAGAAGGTTGAGTTAGTGGCCATGTAGTTTATGAGATAGCCCACAGCGTCAAGTGATTAGTTTTATACAAAGGGACTGAGTTAAGTAAATATTTTGAAGAAGATGGTAGCCAAGTTTTTCACAATCAGGGAAGGCAGGTACAAATATGGAAAGGCAGAGGACAGAATAAATCATGTACTGTTGAAATTGAATTAGAGGTATTAGAATGACTCATGGTTGATAACAAACATGGACAAATAGATATAGAAATAGAAATAGATGTGTCTATGTGTCCATATACACATATACAAATTTTGTAGCTCCATCCATACACTGAAAGGGTATAAAAGCAGTAACATTCCAGGGGCAAGATGTATACCTAGCCCCCAGATTTTGGTTTCTAAATGCCATTCTCTGTTAAAAAGGACTAAGGTTTCTTAGAGACATGGCTGATGTCAAGGGTAGTGCAAGGAAAGGAGAAAGTAATGGAAGTGCTCAAAGAATGACACTGATACAAATCAGCTCAAACAGGCTGCCTCTGGCCAAATCTTGGACAAATTGAGCAACAAAGTTATAATAGTACTGAGTTATGATTCACTGGATAAAATTAGAATCCATAAGTGTTTACTGATATAAATAAATAAATGTGTGGGGAAAGGGGATATTTTATCTTACAGTAGCGTGCTAATAAATGTAAAAGGAAAAATAGAACTAGAAAATTACCAATTGGCAACCATCACAGAAACATTGAATTCAAGCAATGACTAAAGCAAATGGATCCAAATAATATAAGCTAAATTATTTTATTCTCTTTAAAAAATTCACTTTTTGGCACATAAGTCTGAGTTTAGTAAATTAAATAGTCATAGAACTACCACAACCAAAATACAGAATTGTTCTATCACCCAAATAAAAACCTATGTGGGCTCTTTCTAACTCATTCCTCCCTCCATCTCTAATTCCCAGCAACCACTGATCTGGTTTCTGATCCTCTGCAATTTTAATAATATTCCATATAAATGAAATAGTATAGCATAAAGTGATTTCAGTCTGGCTTCTTTCACTTGGCATAATGCTTAGAGATTCATTCACACTATTACATGCTTCACTCCTTTAATCCCTGAGTAGCTTTCTATTGGATGGATGAATGTAACAATTTATTCAGCAGCTGAAGGATAAATGCCCTATAGTTTTTACTAATTACGAACAAAGCCACTGTAAATATGTATGTAGTTTTGTGAAAACTAAGTTTTTTGTTTTATTTATTTATTTAGCAGTGCTAGGGCTGGAACCCAGGGCCTTGCATGCACTAGGCAAGCACTCTACCACTGAGTTACACTCGAAGCCTATAAACAAAAAGCTTATTATTTTTTGTTCTTTTGAAATGGGGTCTTATTGTATTACTCAAGCTGCTCTTCAACTTCTTATCTCAAGTGATCCTCTTGCCTCAGCCTCCTGAGTAGCAGAGATTACAAATACACACCACTGCACCTGGCTGAACATGAAGGTTTGATAGCCTTAGCTAAATACGCAGGAATAATATTTCTGAGTCATATGGAGTATATGTATTAATAGTGAGTAAAATTTTGATGAGAAAGGCTATATTTATACAACCTCTAAGTATTTCTTTCTTCTTCTTTTTTTTTTTAAAGAATTTAACCTTTATTTTTTGCTGTTGTTGTTTTAATATGTGCCAAGGATCAAACCCAGTGCCTCACCGATGCTAAGCAAGCGCTCCACTACTGAGTTACAACCCCAGCCCCTCTAAGTATTTCTTCACAAAATATTTATCATGAAAGATTTTAAGAACAGGCTAAAGAGTAACAGAGAACACAACAACTAAATGTGCACATGATCTAGATTTAGACATATTAAAAAATACCACTGGTGAGATTTGAATAGATTCTGAGGATTAGATGGCAATATAACATCAGTGTTAATTCCCTGGTCTTGATGGCATACTAAAGTTATGTATGAGAATGTCCRTGTTTTTCAAAATTACAAAATCATTATCCAAAGTACATGCATGAAGACATGAATTGGTGTGAATATACTTTGTATATAACCAGTGATAGGAAAAATTTGTGCTCTATATGTGTAATATGAATTGTTATGCATTCTGTTGTCATATATAAATAAAAAATTAATTAAAAAATCTATTCTTYTTTTATTATTTTGTTTATTTAATTTTATGTGGTACTGAGGATCGAACCCAGGTCTCAAATGTGCTCTACCGCTGAGCCACAACCCCAGCCCCCACCCCCTCCTTTTTTTTTTACAGAAGTATTTAGGGTGATGGGACTTCATGTCTACAACTTACTCTTCTATTGTTCAAAGTAATACCACTGTCAAAAGAATTATCCAAACATACAGACCCATACAAAGAAAAAACAAATRTGGTAGAATGGCAAAAACCAGGGAATCTGGATGAAAGGTATTTTGAACTACTCTCACAATTTTTCTAAAAATTTGAAGTGACTTTTAAATAAAATACAAAAAAATGTGACTGACTAAAGCACTTGTTTCTTAAAACATTCATTTTATTTAAATTTGTATAGCCAAGGCCACTAGGAGGGTTGACTGGGATATACTTTTATTTTTTGGTGCTGGGAATTGAACCCAGTGCCACCTGCATGCTAAGCACATGCTCTACCATTGAGCTACCCTACCCTCTTAGTCAAGGATGCTCTTTTAATACCACAATATTTCTGAATATTTCTCCTTATAGAATATGTACTCAAAAGTTCTAGAATAGAAAAATTAATGTATTTGATCACTTGCAGATATTAAAATTCTTTAGTAGATTTATCCTTTGGAGAAAAAAATTATGAACTACAAKTATTATTACATTTAGATATAAAGTAATATATAAAAAAGGGCTGGAGCTGGGGCTCAGTGGCAAAGCACTTGCCTCACACATATGAGGCATTGGGTTTGATCCTCAGTACATAAAAATAAATAAACCAAATAAAGGTATTGTGTCCATGTATAACTAAAAAATATTTTAAAAAAATAAAAATAAATAAACAATAAAATAAAAGGCATTCTATCTGTCTACAAAAAAAAAAAAAAAAAAAAAAAAGCAGTTTGGTGGAAAAACCTCAAGACTGCTTCTCTTACCTTCCAGTACTGGGGATTAAACCCAGGGCCTCACACATGCTAGGCAAGTGCTCTAACACTGAGTTGCATTCACAGGCCTTTTTATTTTGAGACACTTCTCTGCTAAGTTTCATAAGCTTGCCTTGAACTTGCAATTCTCCTGCCTCAGATGACCCTGCCCCGTGAACCCCGTAGCTGGGAATACAGGCATGAGCCATAGCACTCAACTTCACGACTGCCTTTTTATGCCAGGCATGGTGGAGCACAACTGTGATCACAGTGACTTGAGAGGCTAGGGCAAATTAGAGAAGTATCAAAAGTTGGAGGACAGTCTTATCAACTCAGCAAGGCCCTAAGCAACTTAGGAAGACACTGTCTTAAAGTGAAAAATAAAAAGGGACATGGATGTGACTCATTGGTAAAGTGCCCCTGGGTTCAATCTCTAATATCAAAAAAAAAAAAAAAAAAAAAAGGATTGTGTTTTTACCTAGCATCACAAAGTGATCTGATATATTACCATTAAATAATGGTGTTTAATACATGTGGACCCATAAAAATGAATATGCAGTACTATTATATATAATTTATATATTATTTCTAAATAACTGATGTAAGTATCTTAAGATAACTTAAGTATGAGGACCCTAACTATCMAACTCATTATTTTATCCTAAAGGTAACTTTTATTACCCTAACTGTAAGTGTCTCTAGAAGTTCTGATAATAGAAAATACTAACAAAATTTATCTCTTCATTTCAGTTTTTATAAAAGGAGACACGATTCACTGAATCTTCTAAATTCAGAATAAGAAGCTGGACACGGAGACACACGCCTGCAATCTTAGCAGCTTAGGAAGTCGAGGCAGGAGGATCATAAGTACAAAGCCAGCCTCAGSAACCTAGGTAGTCACTAAGCAACTTAGCATGACTCTATCTCTAAATAAAATATAAAAAGGGCTGGAGATGTGGCTCAGTGGTTAAGTGCGCCTGGGTTCAATTCCCAGTACCACATACACATATACAAAAAAGAGCTAAGCCTTTGAATTCAGTGTCAAGTTGTACATATAAATTCAATATATATATATATA